AACTGTCGACCCCCCCCCCCGAGTTTTTCATAGAGATTTTTGGCATGGCGTGTGCTCTCTCTTGTTTTCGTACAAATTCCAGAAAACAACCCTTGTGAAGCTGATGAACTAACTACTCCAATGCCCCACCGACAGTGTCGTGTTAGGACAGATCATATCACTCTCGACACATAAGTTGAACGACAGAGAGTCACGTTGCAGACTTTCGAAGCTTTGTGATGGGTCACAGTTCCAATGTTTTTGTAGATATTTCACCCAGTGATGGCTGGTGTGTATGTGTATATATTTCATCAACCAGAACTTGGATGATCCCATCTCCGAGCTACCCATCACCAGATATATCAATCAAAAACCTCGACTTGAATGTCATAAGGAATTTCTTGATCCATATGAAGTTTTGGCATTTAAAAAAAATGGTAATGATCTGATGGGCGAAAAGAAGCTTCTACACCACTGTCTTGCCGTGACAAAAAAAAAGAAAAGAACAGCTTCTATTCTACCCACCCATAGTTAAATCTTCAAGACAATCCCGTGTCCTGAATTATATAACTTCACCATCGAAGACAAGCCTCTCTATATCTAAAGCTGATCCCACTTCATCAAGACAAATGACTATGTTCTTGATTCCCTCTGAAACAAGAGGGACTTAGTGATGCTTCAGCCATTGTGCTCTATTATCGTTTTGATAATGAATGGTTTAATAAGGATTGTGACTAAAAACCGACCTGATGCTCCGGTTTCACGTAAAAAAACATAGACCTGCATAATCAAAAGATTCAGGCTTTGTATTCTTCTCGATATTTTCTTATTAATACAGAGAATCATAGTCGAATAAAACGTTAGGAATATAAACGACCCAAAGCGGCTGAACGATGGTAATATACAACAGAAATTTGATTTGTTGGAAGAAGCCACTTGCAACCCCAGAGAGAGACGGGTGGGATCAGGGGAAAAGGATGAAGCACAGAAGCTCTCGTTGGGCAGCATTTCCACCCCACGAGCTCAAATCAAGACATTATCATCAAACCATCTATCTGTGTGTTTAAACTTACACGACTCCAGAAGGAAGACGAAGAACAAGCTGCCCCCCAAAGACGCTGCAGAAAATGGTGGAAAGTGAAGTTGTGGGAAAGAATGGAAAAGATGGAAGGAAAATTTCAAGAGGGAAAGTAAACCTTTTCACGTAGTAGTAACAGAAATCTGCCAAGATGAAGGTTTGCACGATTTCCGATATGAGAACCATTGACGGCCATAACCCGTATCCAAGTGCTACTAGCAAGCGTCCACGTGTGTCTACTACCTGTTTGGATTTGGATGCACACGAAAAGAAGAACGAGATTATGTTTCAGTTTATGGATAGATCAGAGATTAACATATAAAACACCATATGGTCCTTCATTTACTGCTTTCACCACCACTACTGAATAACACCATGCATTTGCTGAGCACCAAGCAAACAGGAAAATGCCTTTTCGCTAGAGGAATAACCACTAAAGCCAGTTTGTGAACCCTTGTTTCTAATGGCTCATCCAATATGCAAAGTCATTGCTAAGGTGATCAATTTTGGCAAGGGGCATCAGGTATCATTACCATCAATTCTACAAATAATTTAAAACAATTTATAATATCAACTTTCTCAACAAACCTGTAAAACCCAGTGAGCGCAGCTAAGGAACCTCGCCACTCCAAGTGCAAATACATAATGTGCTGTGAATGGCTCAACAATCTGAAAGACTCAGCATATCCAAATCACCAAATTAGAAAGAAAATTAGTTGATAAGTTTACCGTCAGTGTGACATATTCGGCAAAAAGTTCACACCTTTGTGTTCTGCATCACTCGCAACTGGGGCAGCACTGAGACAGCTTCCAGATATACACAGAACGCCCAGGAAATCCTATTCAGTATATTGTGTGAGGTTGACGGATGAATTAACACGGCTAACACAGCACAGGGCGCAAGCTGAAAAAGCAACATGGAAAAATCATTATTTTGACCCTAAAACCGTCAATCATCACTAATACACCAACGGTTGGATGAAAATTTTGCAATATACATTGCCAAGTTTAATAAATATTTCATACTTCCCACAGACTTCTGCTCCGTTCACTAATAGACTGGTACAATGAAATGTAGCTATAACGAATCTAATTAGAGAGAAAAACATCACAGAAGATCTGTGGCTTGTCGACAATACCACAAGCACCCTTTCTCCGGTCTAACAAAATATGTTTAATTAACCATGAACACTGCTTATAACCGGCTAAATAGCATATAAAACAAAATGACTTACCACATAATAGAGAGCAAAGTTGTCTTTGTCCTCCATGTAACTAGACCTTAACTTAAAACGGATCATAAAGATAACCCAGAGAGTTGTACCCAAAGTAGCCAAGTCAAGAAGGGTGTGTATATCATATTCCATAACAAAGCTGCAGTACAGCCTAACAGCTAGAAATATTGCTGTTAGCTCCTGAGATTTCAATGACAGTCCTGCAAGTGATTTAAAAAAAAACTTCAGTCTAGCGGGGAACAAATAATGATAAAAAAAAAAAAGACATGATCTTTGGAACAAATCCGAACTTCACACTTCGTATCTGAAAGCAACATGAAATACTCATGCAGTCCTCATATTACTCCTTCAAATAATCAGAGAAATGGGAAACAAAATTAATAGTAGGCCGATCAAATTCTGACTCAGCCCCTGAAACATGGACCAAAAGCTGCAAAATTTTACCCTACCGAGGTACAATTTTCACGCAATTGCAAATAACAACTAATCGCGTCCACCTTCGGAATTCGGATACCAAGCTAAAGATTTGATTTTGGGCGTTAACAAGTTCAAACCCCTTTCTTTCATATGGATTATCGATCACATTTTTTTTACAGAAGGGTATTACTTCGAGATGTGCCGTTGACAAGTAATTTTCGTAAGAACGGACCCAAGTACAGAGTCTAGATATTTACAATTGAGGAAAACCAGCTTCCAAACCCTAAATCGGATACGATAGATAGACGAACAAAAACGACTCCAAAGAGGACGAACACGAAATTTGTTTTACCAGCACAGGTCTTTTCCTTCATGAGCTTGTAGATGAGGACAGAGATCCCGATAGAATGGACAGCCTCCGCGGCAACGAAGAGATTGTCGTGATCGTGTACGATGAATCGAAGCAGAACCAGCGCCGCCATGCCCGTGACGACCGCCAGGAACGCCTTCACTTTCGGCGGCTGTCTCCTCACCCATGTCCACACCGCGTGGATCGGAGTCTTCGTCACCTTCATGCCGTTTCCTTCCGAGTATCCCTTTTTCAGCTTCGTTCCTGATTTCCTCGGTGAAGTGACGGAAAATGGGAAAAAGCTGCAGGGAGTCTTCCACGATCGGGACAAACAATGCCGGCTTTGAAACTTTGGGTCGATTTTTCAAAATGACCAAACTACCCTTACCTCTGGGAAATGAAATAGTTACAAATGGGCCGAGGCTCAAGGTCTGGTTATAGGCCCATAATCATGTTCATGTATGTATTTATATATGTGATGTGATGTATCGTACGTATGGTTAGACCGTGGACAAATCAAATTAGTGCTGTATTTTCTAAACCCCGAGAATATATATATATATATATATATATATTGGAATGGCGCGGAAAATAAATCGACGAATGGTCAACACATGGCATGACCTTTTCATTATGCGATAATGAGTGGATGGAAGTGTCGTTATTACCCTTTTGGAGACTTTAGGATAAGCTTCTTAGTTTTGTTTGACGGTGTAAGTCAGCCCACCTAGATTATTGGTACGCTTTGTCTGCTAAACGGTTTTTATTTTTATTTTTGGTAAACTTTTTTTTTTTTTTGATAGTTCGGAAATTCACCGAATTTTTGATCCGACTACATCTTCCAGAGGATTGGAGAAATCCAGGTGAATGTCTCTGCCCACGCTTGGATTTGAACCCAGGATGAGAGCATGTTCTCACCACTAGACCACCCAAACTTGAATTTTTTTTGTTGTAAAGTTTGGCGTGCAGGTGGGTTTAAACGGTTTTTATTTTATTTTTAAACAAATATTGATTTTAATTCAGTTGGGTACTTAGGGTTTTAAACTATCTCAAATGATTTTATTCTCTCAATATGTTGCAGCTATATCCATGGGAGCAGGTAGATGCGCAATAATGTTTTCCAATTACTCTTTCCATACGTCAACGTCTATCTGCATATACATATATATGAAATAATATGATATTAAATATTAATACTAGGGTCGGGTATAAAGTCTCGTGGACCGACCAAACAAAACGATCCCACTTCATAGATGCGGCGGTTGTCTTGTAAAGCCATCCTTCTACTTGTGTCCATGTGGCCGTTTGCTCCATCAGTTGAAGAAAAAAAGGACGTCGGTATGTTCGTTTGGGATTCCTTTTGTAAGGAAAGGAAAAGAGATCGCTCTCCTCTCAACTGATGATCGGGAATGAGAAGCAACCACCACAACTACAGCTAGTTGTGGGCGTTTCGGTATTCAATTCGGGTTCGATTTGATTTTTTCGGTTTTATAAAAATATGTATCAATCGGTTATTATAGTATATTCTATTCGGTTCATTTTTGGTTTTTATTAAAAAATATTTAGAACTTCTTAAAACAATTTAGTTTTTTGGGTTTTTTATAATTCGGTTCGGTTTTGGAAAATTTAATTTTTCAAAAAAATAGCGTTTATAAATTTTGGACGGATCGGAAAACATACTGCATTTTTCTATTCGGCGCGATTCGATTCCGAAGAACCGTATCAAACAATCCATCCCTAAATCACAATACTAACATTTCTTCTCTCAACTCAAATAACATACCATAGCTGCATACATAAGCAGAAATTCGATATAATAAAATACTATATCATAATTACACGCTTTCATAGTTAGAACAACAGTAAAGACCGTTACTTTTACCCAAAAAACCTAACACCTTTTTAGGACAATCGAGACATTTTTCAAACACCGATTGAGGAAATAGTTCGATGTTGAGAACGTTTTTTGTTTGCGTCTGAATATCTCAAATCTATTATATTCTGAGTTGAATCTGAAAATTAGAGAGACATTCACATGAATTTTTATTTTTACAGTGTTTATGATTATTTTGCGTTTTCTAGTTACCAAAAAAAAATTAACAATTAGAGGGAGTGGGAGGACCTAAAAATTAATAACAACAAAGATAGAAAATCTCTAAGAATCATCAATGATATAAACACAATATAGACGATCAAAATAATAGATTTCAATTTCCTATATAAAACATAACAGCGTAAAAAATTAGCGGATTTCTCGTAATAAATCTTATTTGACATATTAAGCATCAATATGTATATATATATGTATGTATTATGTGTGTATGCATATATTATATACATATATGTATGTATGTATAAGTATATAATTATAGATGTGTGTATACGCATATACGTGTGTAGGTATATTTTAAAATTTTATTGTTTATTTATTATTGCTAACATTATATGTAAGAAGTAATATGTGATGCGGCGTTTAATATATATATATATATATATTAAAAAAATGGGTGATTTAATATATATTTTATTCTGCTGGTTCGCTCGGGGATGTCTGGTTAATGGGTTTGAGCGTTAGCCCGAATCATGAGAAACCAGGCCCGGTTAAATCTAATAAAGGAAGTCTAAATGACGTCGTTTCATTTCACTATAAAACCTGTCTGAATTTATTCCATTCAATCCAGAAAACTGTTGTTCAGCTTTAGAACGACGCCGTTTCTGTCTCACCAAAATCGATCCTTATCCTCCGGCTGAAGGAATCCGTCGCCCACTTTCAGCCGATCGTCGTCGCAATCCCACTGGTCATTCTCATCGCAAATCTAGGTACCTGATACGCTCGTTTCTCCTAATTTCGTCAATGGGTTCTTCCGTTCAATCTGTCGTTTCCCCTATAAATTGACCGCAACGGATGATTCCCCTTAGGGTTTCGGTCGTTGTTGAGTTGAATGCTCCTTGTCCCAATGGAGTTATTTCCGTTCGATTCAATTACTTGTGTTGGTTTGAATTGACTGTAGTTTATGAAAGTCTACCTCGTATGGGGATTCTCCGACCAGAAATTGGAGATTCCTTTCTTAGCATTGTATTGGGGTGAAATATGAGCGTAGTTTCTCACGCTGGTTAAGTTTTGGCTTTCTGTCATGGCTATGTGATGCCAATTGGCGGTTTTACGATAGCTCTTAGGCCGAGTAACAATTTGCGAGCAAAGTTTTTTTTTTTTTTTTTTTTTTTT